GTCAACAAAGGACGTGAACTTGAATGACATGGAGATGCCGGAGGGGGTATGGACGGTAAGCAGGACTCCTACAATCAGGTCTTGCGGAATCTACCTACTGTACCTCAGACAAGTAGTCGTGTAATTCTAAGCATATTATCTGTATGATTTAATCAGGTGGACGCTCTTCGATTTTACTACCGAATGTGAGCAACAGTGTGAGCTATCTTAGTGTCCTCCAACGGAAAACATTAATAAGACGAGTGCGTCACACTCAGAATAGATAGTAGGAATGGTGAGCAAAGTAGCTAAAAGCTTTCTTCAGTAACTGGTGAAAACTAAGACGAGTTCGTACAGTTTTTCCCTAAATCACCAGCGACTACTTCTTCTACCAATTCACTATAAAATTCCTGTATGATATCCTGGCATCCAACAATCGTCTGTGTACTGATCCCCTTTCTCATTCGATCGAGGTTTTGTTCCAAAGTTGATTTTTATGACTCGACTTATTAATAGGCCTATATGCCATCGATTTCCCGTTCGCTGACATTGCACGAGAGTTTACCAACGGCCATAACACACCCCAGGCTGTCCTCCGGCCCACTTTGAGTACGATTAAATGATAAACTTATGACACGAATGTATGGACAACGAACAACGCTCAAACTGTTGACGCATAGTACGAACACAGTAAACTCCTCATAAAGTAGTACTAGGAAGTAAAGAGAAATAGGGTTCTGGAACAACAGGTATTAGCCTACATCTCTGTGCACAAGCTCATTTTTGAGGTCGTTAAGGATATTTCAACACATTACCAAGCATCGGATCTCTGAATTTTCTAACTAAATACCTCGGTCAGTTCCCCAACTTTACAAGTCACCCTTAGTACGTTGGCATGTGTCTACATCGATGCAAGTTTTCATCCCCACTGATTGAATCGCATGAATAAGTGTCGTTCGTCCTTCGAATTCGTGGTACCCAAAGTCCTTTGTGAGCATGATAAGAGGTGGTTAGAGGTGAAACGGTCCACCTTGTGTCTCATGTTAAAAATATGTTGCCAGCCAGCGTACAGCTAAGTTAACGTCCACATTTGCTAATCGCACCTGAATTTTCAGCCTAAGATCCAAACGACGTGCTATTTTGCGCATGCGGCGGTTTTTTATGACTGAAAAATAAGATTATACATGAAGACGGTGGTAAACACTGATGTTTTCAGGATCTCGTCGTCCGGTCAGTACATACGGTTGTCATCTCTGTTCTAGTCATTAGGTATATACTGGTCTGACGACGAGATCCACAAAACATCAATTTTCGCCAGTGTTTTTTTGTTGAAAAGTTAGACTATCGCCTGAAGTGAGGAAAAAATCATATGAAGAATACCTTGTGAAGGTGTTCTGACGGTCATGCAAGCTCGAGACTACAGGAAGACTGAATCAACTCATTCCACAGTTGTACGCGTGAATCAAGTGCGGTGTTTGGCACACCAGCGACGGCGTATTCCGATTGCTTTTCAAATGAACTGTTTTTTATAACTCGTCAGAGAGACAGAGAGAGACAGAAAGACCACAGGACGATTCAGTCGGTCCAAGGAATGCACGGCATAGT